GGCCTATAAATCTTGGGTGACATCTCTAAATGCACCCCAGTTCATCGTTTTCTTCATCTCAACATAATACAGTGTAATATTATGTCAGATGTTTAAATACTTAAGTACAAAAATTGGTAGACACAGTCATCTCTTCTTACATTACTATTTTACAAAATGTTGAGCTGTTTCATGGGCAACTGGCATGGTGTTAACTTACACACTTAGTGGTTGACAATGTTTCTAGACCTAGCTCTACTTTCAACTGGCTGGACAATTACGAGCTTCTCAAAGGAAAGTTCTTCCTTATACATATGGGACGCTGAATTAAATGACCTGTGTGCCTCCCAAGTCTAAATAACTGATCCCTTCTTAGCTCTCATCCTAACACTTTCATAATCAGCCAAAGCTGACTTCGTGTGTTAACAGTGGTAACCACTGGTTGATTTATTTGTTTTTTAAAAACACTGTTTTCCTGAAGTTTTACATTTTGGGCAAAAAGGATACAAGGGCAAAAGGGTTAAGGCTTAAGTGGGTGGTATGTACATTCTTGAATCTGAATAAATAAAACACTAAAATGACATTAGCAGAAGACTTCTCCCCCTCTCCCAGAACTGGATTGTACAGGAGCAACCTTGAAGGTTTTTCTCGCATGATGGAAATCCATTGATAAGTGACTGTTAGCACTGTGTGCCCTGCACTAATATATTGTCAAAATAGAACTTTTGAATTATTATGTGGTGTGGCTTCTTGGCGGTACAATTTCAGCTTTCCTCTAATATGAAAATGTACACAAACCAAGTTTTGAAAATCAAGTTAGCTTCTTGACTTTCTTTATATGAGGGTCAAAAAAAGACAATTCTTTTGGGATGTAAGCCAAAGACCCTAAAGAAAATAATCAAATGGAAAGCACAGGAAGAGAAACTAGAACTGTAATTGCACACTGTTTTATGCATAAGAGAATAGAACCTGGTAAATTTTATACGAGATGTTATCTGTAATTAGACACACTGGATACTAAATCGATTATGAATTAAAGACAAACTTAATTTGAATTTTTTAAAGTGTTTTGGCATTTCTTAATAAAGTAACCAAAACCTGAGTCTTTTTTTTTTTTTGATGCATAAACTTTAGGGAAATCTTGACCTCAAATACAAGGGATTTTTGTCAACTTGCACAGAAATACATGAATATGTAATTCTCAGTGTGGAAGAAGCAGAATGTTTCTCATAAAAATTATGCTTTTAAGTCTTTTCTCACTATTTCCAATTCACTCATCCCCTTTAAATGAGGTTATGTAGATTTGACCTTAGATAGTCATAAATCCCTTTTAAAATGTTAATTTGAAGTAAATATATTGAAGGATAATGTTTCTCACTTTAGTTCCTCTGAAAAGTTATGATTTTATTTTAAACACTTTTTAAAGGGCAGATATCCTGTCATTTCATTCCTTAATCATCTCTGAATACCTCTCTTACCTTTACCTCATGCAGTGCTGTTACTGGTCAGATACATGGCTTCAGGAATAACATGCATTATAGTATTACCATGACTACTCACTAGTTTTTAGGTTAATTTGAGTATATTTGTGTGGGTGTGTGGGTAGGGTGTATTAATCAGAGAGAAAATGAAATGGAAAGAGACTGGGCCAAGGTATGGGGGTTTAGACAAAACAGATTGGTAGGAGATAAATATTCTACAAAAGTTATAAATTATATTTTTTGTTTATGAACTATTTCATCCCAGTAAAATATAAGCTTCATGAGGGCAAGGGTCTCTATTGATTTATTTTCTGATATAATCAAAGCAACTAGAACAGTGTTTTGTACATATTAAGAACACAGTGCAATTTGTTAAATTATACCTGATTAAACCAGTAGGATAATTAATTGGTAATAAATTACTTAAGAGGATGAGAATTTTGCCTTACAAAGTACATTCATCATTCAGGATGGGTTGGTGAATTTGTTTCAAATGCAGGAGGGTTACATCCTTACTGAGAGCCTTCCAGTATACTAAGAGAGACAGACAGACAGGCAGGCAGGCAAGCAGGCAGACAGACAGACAGAATGACAGAAAGGTACAGAGAAACAGAAAGAGAATGCAAATGAATTTCTGATTTAATGAACTGTTTACAATAAAAAATGTGTTAGATTTTTTTGGGGAAAAAAATCCCATCATTAATTAAAAGAAAATACATTACTGTTAAATAAAATAAAATAAACCTCACTATCTTACCTAACAAGGCAGAAACTCTAATCAGGACTATTTGACAAATCAAATACATTTTATTTAACAAGCTATGGTTGGTATTTATTGCACTGCTATTTACAGTAAATGTGATCTTTTTAGAACAATCATGCAGTATTTAAATTAAAATTTGATATAGGTCAAAAAGTGAAATTAGTGGCCTAGAGTCTTGACAAGTTGACATTTACTTGAGATACTAAAATCCATCTAGAAAATATGGCAGTCTGGGGTCATGGGCTGCCCTCCAGCAAAACAAGTCAAAACTGAAGTGAATTTGCAGAATTTAAATTCTGTAAACTAAGTGGCTAGCACTGTTTATGACCTCCCATGGGGAGGCACCCTCCCCATCCCCACCACACGCACACACAAGTAAACACTGCATCATTTCTGTTTTCAAACATAGACCCTACTGCTTTATGCTAATATTATGCTCATTGACACAGTTCTCTGTACTTGATTACATTTTAGTCCTGTTGGTTTTGAAAGTACATTTATTATTTGGAAAAAAAAAATTTCCCTAAAGTAAAAGTCCTCCTCACCAAAAGCAAAAACCTTGAAATGAGTACAAAGGTTCTGTTTCTGTTTAAAGACTGTGGCTTACGCTAAGATATAATGCCGTGCAGATATGCAAGATGTTACTTGATAACAATGTGAAAAACCACTTTCTTAGCTAAGTAGTTACAATTTTCTTTAAAAATTCCACTTTCAGTATTGGTTGTTATTGGTAACGTGGTTTTAATTTTAAGCTTATTTTAAAATTATTGATTAATAATGCTTAACACATTCTAATCCAATTTCCCCTATATCAGCCAATAGGGAACCCAGTTTTACCAGCTTGTAGCACTGCACAAATGAAACAGAGAATTAAAATCAACTGCTTAATATGTTAAATAATCTGAAGTCCTGACAATTACAATTGTAATATTGCAATACTAAAATAATCACAAGGCACCAGGTGAATTTTGTCAATGTAACAAACACAAGCTATACTCTCTATATCAAAAAAGTACACTTTCAACCCAGATGTGATGACTACTAAGGAGAAAATATTTACTACTAATTTTCTACTAACCCAAATGCGATATATGTGTTCTACTAAAACAGTACTAAAAATTCCATCTATAGTTTATGAATCAAGTGATGGAAACTGTGCAATCATCCTCGGACATAAAACTAACTTTACTGCTAGTTTACCAGTAAGTTATACATCTGCTTCAGAACAATCTACATTACGAAACTGGGATAAAATGGAATCTTTACACACACGCGCGCGCGCGCCTGCGCGCGCGCACACACACACGAAACTGACAAAAAATGCTGACATTTTGGACAGCTCCCTCCTGATTTTTCTACAGTATTTCTCTTTGGTGTCTTAATTTTTTCTGTTCTCCCAATTCAAAAATGAGCCCAACCAAGGTGGCTTCTGCGGTTTTTGGATCTGAATTTATTTTTGTTGTGTTGTCTTGTGCTTGGGGACAAAAGATCCCTCCAATGAAAGAGATTTAGGAGCTACAGTAACAGGAAAGTGCTGTTCTCAGTTCAAGATCCGGCTCGCTGTAGGGAGCCAATTTTTATTTTTCCAAAGATTCTAGCTGGCAAGCAGGGACGTCTGCGGACAGTCATTAGTGCCCAGACATTTCAAGAACTTTCCCAAGCTGACCCTCCTGTGGAGACAGCGGGCCGCATACAAAACAATCGCCAAGAGTAAGTTTGTGTGTCCTGACGAAGGATGGAGAACACACTGCCCTGAGCTACGGGGATTCGGCTTGGCCGGCACCACCATCCATTTGCAGCAGCGCCTACAATCCGCCTTCTGCGGAACGGTGTGCCGCGCAGGTGGAACTCCCAACGGCTTTCCAAAATACAATTTAATATAAAACAAAAACAGCACGGGCACTGGAGAAAGCTGGGTGCATAAGCCTGGTTACCTGGGTGGTTTCCGCGCCCTGTCCAGGTCCGGATGCCCAGATCCCAATGGGCAGGAACTTTCTCGGCGGGCAGAGCCGCCCGGCAGTCCGCAGCGGCCCCCGCGCGCCCCGCCGGCCGGGCCCCAGGGGGGCACTCGGGCCAAGGCAGCCCCGGGGCAGCGGCTCCACCTGGACGCGCGCGCGGACCCCGCCGCGCTCCGGCCGTGCAGTCCGGGGCTCACACGGGCGCCGCACGCCCAGCCTCGGTCAAGCCCCGCAAACCGGACTCTCTCAGTCCCCAGATCCGCGCCCCGGAGAGGGGTGGCGAGCTTCCCGCCGGGCGCATCTGGCCCCGAACAGTGGCCACCCTCTGAGGCTGGTTCCACTCCCCTCCTCGTTCCTCCTTTGCCTCGGCGGGGCGCACCGAGCCTTACTTGCCCTCCCCTGCGTCCCACTCCCCTCGGAAGTCCCCGGCGCGAAGCGGGACCTGGCGGAGCCCAGGTGGCCGCGCCTCTCCCCGGGCGCGCTGGACGCTCGTCTCTCTGTCATCACGGCAGTGAAGTTCCACCTGCCCTGCGCTTCGGGGCCGCCGCGGACTTGCCGTGCCTTCCGTGCGCTCCGCCGCCCCCGGGCCTCGGGCGCCCTCCTCCCTCCCTCTCAGCCGGGAGCCCCGGGGCCGTCGGTTCCCGTCCGAGGGGACCCGCCGCGCCCCCCACGCGGGCACACACAATGCCGTCCCCGCGCCCGCCCGCCGGTCCGCGCCGAGGGCACACGGCGCGGGCAGGGACCCCCCCCGTCAGGACTCCCCGGGCGCGCCAACCCCGCCACCCCCCGAGACGCCGGCGGTCCCGGGCCGGGGCTTACCCGCGGGGCGCGTGCTCCCTCGCCGCTCGCCGGCCCGCGGGCCACGGGGCCGCCGCAGCCGGGCTCCCGGAGATGCCGCCGCTCCGCCGCCTCTGCCCGCTGCCCGGCGCCAGCATCACCGCCTCGCGTCCGCCCGCGCGAGGCTCTCCCGCCGCCCTCCCGGCGGCGCCTGCGGCTGGGCAGCAGCGTGGGCGGCGGCGCCCGCACGAGCTCGCAGCTGCGCCCGCTGAGCAGCCGCGGCGGCAGCCGGAGCCCCGGGCCGGCGGCGCTTCCCCGGCGGAGGCTCGGGCCTCGGCGACTGACAACGCCCGGCAGCCAATCGCCGGCTCGCCCCGCGCGGCGGGGGAGACCAATCAGAGCGGAAGGCCCAAGGTGCTCCTCCGCCCGGGCTCCGCAGCCTGGCTTCCGGGAGGGCGGCCGGGCGCCGGGCGCCGGGCGCCGGGGGTGGGGGGGCCGGGAGGGCCGCGGGGCTCCCGCCGGGGGCGCCCCGGGGCGGCCAGACCGCGAACCGGCGGGCTGGGGCGCTCTCCGACCGCGGCGGGGAGGAGAGGGGCGCCCCGGGGTGCGTGTCCGCAGAGGCGCGGCGCGGCGGGTCACCGCCTGGGCATCCCGGGCAGGGCCGCGGGACCGAGCAGCCGGGCGCGGGGGAGGGCGGACCCCCGGCGGTGGTCGCCGCCTGGAAGGATGCGCGAACAGTCACCAGACAGCGCCCCCGTCCTCCTCCCGTTGGCAGCCTTGGTATCCGAAGGGCGGTGCTCCCGCGCCCGGAGCCCTGAGCCCGGGAGGGTGCCGGGCCGCGGAGGAGGCTCCCGGGGACGCGTTCCCAAAGTTGCAGTTAGAGTGGACCTTCCCTGCTTCCAAGTAAACGCCCTCGCCTCCCCCTCAACAGAGCAAAACACCTCAAGAAGCAGTGGAGAGGCAGTTTAAGCAGACACCTAGTTGGTTTTCCCTTGGAGAGTCACTTCGGGGTGTGAGTGTGTAGGGGGGTGACACAAACGCCACAGAAGGGATGTTACTTCTCGAGGAAAGAAAAAGAAAATGAAAGTGGCAAACTTTTCCCATACCACCGTCCCCAAAACTTGATCTGTCCCTGTGGAGCATTTTAAGTCCCTTCAGCACAAATAAGTCTGAATGTTCCATAGTTTTAGTAAGTCTGTAATGCCCCGTTTCAGGAAAAATGTAAAATAAGTTGTACACAAAGACTTTAATGGGTGTGGGTCTTTCCCCAAGTGACCTATCTTACAAGGTTGTGAAGGTAAAAAATGAAATGTATAAATCACCTACATAGTTGTTTGACAAATAGCTGGAATGTAGTAGGTGTTAGCTAGGCTGCTGCTGTTTTTCATTATATTTTAAGTGATCCTTTTCTGTTTTCAGTAATCACTTCTTTCTTCATTTACCCTCCCTTAAAGACAATTCCATGTATCCTGTGATACCCAAAATAAACACTGCTTAAATTATATGAACACCATAAAGAAAATTCGCAGATGAGACTGCGCATTGCCATGTTTCAGTACTGTAGAAAATGCGTGCATCTCAGCATCATGCTTCCTGGTTTTCTTGTGCCCACAGCCCCCCTTCAGTCATTTGGCCAATCTAGTTTGTGAGGCACACAATTTCTTTTTAAGGATCCAAGTGTGCTAAAACAGATAATGGGAAGTTTATTTTTTAGGCCAAAAAAAGATCTGTACCACATCATTTTGAATTTTTAATCTAGAGAAGTTTTTGTTATTGTTTAGGTTTTTAAAGTTGTTAATTGTTTATTTGTTGTTATGGTGTAACTTAAAATCGACATCTTCATTAACTACACGAGGTGATCATTAGAGGAATGGAATTCAAGTCTGGGAGAGGAAGAAAAAAATTAAAGTTTTACTCACATCCTAGGGGAAGATGGAGCTGATACATGCGAGAAGTAGAAATGTTAAAACTTAAATCTTAAAATTGGAAAATTTAAATGCAACAATTTAGAAATACCCCTGATAAAAGATGTTTAGGATGATCTCCAATCAAAAGACCAACTTGACTAAAGAAAGCATGTAAAATATGAAAATACTAAAGTTTAGAATATTATAAGCTATTTAGAAACTCCCAGAGATGTGCAAGTGTATGCACAATTACATAACTTTTCCCACCACTCTTCCATGCCCTGCCAAATGTACTATTTTCCAGTATCTTGTAATATTTTCTTCTTGTTATCTGACATTTTGCAACAGTTAATCTTGAAAAAATATGGCTACTATATACCATATTCCATAGTAAGAATCAAATGACTATCTTACAGAAGCAAACAGTTAAAGAAAATCAACAGAATGGATGCAGATATAACAGTAATGGTATCTCACCATTCTTTGAATAAGCAGCTCTGATCAAAATAAACTTGCACAATAAACAATCTCCTAACAATGAAAACTGAAATACTTAAAATCAGTGAAGATGGAAAATTAAGAAAATAAATTTAAAGAAGTTGAAAAGATTGCATACTCACACGAGGCTTTCTGCATTGCTATGAATTTCACAGGATGTACTGGGCAGAAAGCCTTGTGTTACTTAATTGCATGAGTATTTAATGAGCTAATTATACTTAAATAACTTTTGATGTTTCCTTCTTTCTTCCCCTCCCCCCCCTTTTTTTTGCTCACTTAAATATGTCTATGTTTCTCCCCTTGCAATGGCGAAACTCACTCAACTTGGTAGTGAAGGAATATGGTTAGGCACTATTTAAATCAGTAACTTCTGCCCAAATCTTGAAAATATGTAAAAAAATTTTACATTATTGATGCAAAAAATCAATATTTATAAAGATAGAAACAATATTTGATTGGAGTCAATTCTGACAAAAGCTACATCCAGCAGGCAAGAAGCTAAATGAAAAGGAAAGAAATGAGTCCAGCTCTAGCTCTGCTTATGGCCAGGTGAGGAGTCACAGGTCAGTCACTTAAACTTGTCCAGCATTCCTTATCTGTGAAATAGAGATTAAAAACAAAATCAAACCTATAGCTGCCTTTCGCATATGCGAGGATTAACTCATGATTGGAACGGCAAGCCACAATGGGCTCTTTGCAGAAAAGTCTTTCCAGAAAGGTACAGCGCTGCAATTCAATGATTATTGCCCTCTTTTGAATCTGACTTAGTTTTAATTCTCACAATGGCTCTGTTCATTATGAATACATAATACCTAGTTCTACAGATGAACATATTAAGTCCCAAAGAGGTTCTTTTACCAATTTTACAAGAAATTAACTATCAGGTATACTTAATCTTTTGATGTCCAGCAAGAATGTTGTACTCATGGATCCTTCACTATGTCATTTCCAAAATGGTTGAAATATGCAAATTTAAAGGCTGACACCTTAATTTAAATTAAGGAAAATCCATTTTGTTTAATATTGGGTGTCAGTGTGCCTGAAAAACTATTTCCCCAAATAATATAATTAGATACTTCAAAACATATAAACCATCTGTTTTCATATTTGAAACTCTAAAACACCTTTAACAACAGGTATCATTGATGTTTATGTTAAAGATTACTAAATAAGTCTTTATATTAAAATATTAAAGCAAAATTTTAAAACATGAAAAACCACCAGAATGGAATAGCATTCTATTCATTCATCATAACCAGTATTTTTTTAGAAATATATTTTATACAGGATCTGTGTTCTCTTGTTCTCTTTTTAACACACACACACACACACACACACACACAAGTAAATGGAGTAAAGTCACTCATCAAAATTTCACAGGAAACAGGACCCCAAACCAAGCAAATACTAAGACGCCTACCCTTACTGCACTTTTTCCACCACATCATACTCTTCTCCTGAGATTTGAAAATTATCAGTAGAGAGGGCATCACTGAGACTTAAGAAAATGTAAAAGATATCCAAGAACAAAGGGTAGGCAGAACAACAAGCCTAGGAGACAACTTATAAATAAGAGAAAGTAAGGCTGGTTTGTGGGGGTGTTTGTTTGTTTCCACGGGGAAGCAAACTTTAATCTGAAATCTAGGAAGGCAAAAAGTAATTTGGTATTGTGGAGTCCAAGGAAAAACAAAGCAGTGAAAGTTTAATTATATCAACTTGACTATAAGTATTGGCAAGACATAATGAATTAAGTGAGATGTTTTGGTTTCTTTTGAAAGGACAGTTATGGTAACGTTATTAGGGTGAAAACATTGGACCCACACAGAACGGGGAAAGGATTAGTTCAAGTGGATATGTTTCTGTTATATCAGGAAAGAGTTATGTTAAGTTCAGTATTCTGAAATAGAGGTGGAGTCATGATTTATGCAGACGGCTGTATAAAGAACTTTAATCGGTATAATGGCTCATAAAGTCTTAAATTATTGACAGTCTTTATTGTTATTATTAAAACATTATCATTTGCAAAGAGAAGCAGTCTTCAATGAGTGTGTATGTTATAGAAATCAAACCATTACCAAAATTGAAGAAAAGATATTTCTTTACCCTAAACATTCCATTTTCAATTTTTATAATTTAGAATAACATTCTTTGCTTGAATAAGAGAACCCAACCTCTTTTAATAATGAGTTTCTTTTTATTTTTCTTTAGCTGTAATCACTAAGGAGCAGCTAAATATTTTCATTGGTTCAGCATGAGGAAGAAAACAGGAGAGGAAGCATATGCAGGTGTGTGTACTGTGGGGGTGGGGGTGGGGGAGGTGTGAGGGGGAAGGGGGAGATCAGAAGAGTAAGAAGGAGAGAAGGAACAGTTTTCACGTTATTTGGGTAGCAGTTCTCCATGGCTTCACTAATCAGTACTTCTTTCAGAAGCCACGTGAAGCAGAGAACACTAATAAAATTTAAAACATGAATGACTTCCACATTATCACAAGAGAATGGTATTTAATTGCTTAGCATAGTGTTAGGAACTCAGTAAATGTTTCATCAAGAAAATGGGAATGTGCAAATGTTGCGTAGGGATTTTGGTTTGCGGGCAGAGAGCTGCTGCTAAAAGTTCACACCAACTGATAACATTTAACTTGCTTGTAGTTGTGACCGTTTTAAGTTTACATAAATGAAATCATAACATATAATTTTATTTTATTTTAGTTAGTTTTCCAGGATTGCTCTACAGATCACACCATGGGTGCTTTCTTTTACTAGACTGAATCTGCATTTTCCCTTAGCATCCCAGCACCTCACCAGTCAGACTTTTAACTAATTCTCTAGGTGTTTTCAGGTGATTAGGAACTGTGCCTGTA